GGTCCTCTACTCTGACAACTAATCCACAGATAAAAGGGTAAACCGAGTTCGTTTCTAGTAATCTCTCCTCCTTCAGGCTTCTTCTTCTTCTTTGGACTTTATATGGCGGTTGGCAACCAACTTTAAGGTGCATTACCACCACCAACTGGACCTCAGTTCATCTTTCAATTACCCACGTGAGTATATGCTACTAAAAACCAATTAGGAGATGGGATAGGCGGGACTTGCAGCACATCAAGCGTCACAAATAGAACCAAGTTCTATTTTAGCACCTGGCTCCGCAGAAGCTTGTTGACACGCGCGAGCAGTGTGGATGCAATGATTGAATAACATGTATAACATGCGACGTAGGCGGTTTGGTCAGCATGTTAGGCAACCAAACACTTGTTTGCTACAACACCTTGCTTGTTTCAGCAAGGTGCAAAGGAGCAACAAAGTTTCATCAGGTTGTAAAGAGTCCATGTAACCGCGGAAACGGATTAAACCGCACGAATGTCTGGCAGTCTTCAGTCAGCTGTTCGTTTATGTATGACAGTCTTCATACATAAACGTTGATTACACGATTATATGGTAATTGTCCAGCCCTACTGTATGTGTGTGTGGTAATGAGGTTACAGTACATTGGGGCAGGGGGCTGGGGGGGGGGGGGGGGCTGAGGGGGGGTGGAGTTGGTGATGTGTCAGGATGGGGTGGGGTGAGAGGGGATAAGGGCTTCCAGTGCATAAGCTTGTGGATGACTAAGGTGAAAGGTCAAATGCATGAGAGGGGTGGTGCAGGCCAGGGCTGTGGGGATGGTATGAGAGGGGGCTCATGAGTTATCTGAGGGCTAAGCTGAGGGTTTATAAGGAAGGACTGTAATACTTCAGGGTTTTGAGGGTGAGTGAGTTGGCAGAGGGTTGGGGTGAGGGCTGTGGTGAGAATGTATGAGGTAAAATGGGGCGGGTGCATTAGATAGCTGGGGTCGGACTTTGTTAGGGTTATGGGGGCGAGTGAGTTAGTTGGCTGAGGGCTGGGGTGAGGGTGCATTAGATAGGTGGGGTTGGACTTTGTTAGTATTATGGGGGTGAGTGAGTTGGCTAATGGCTGAGAGCTCTGCCTGCCTGCCTGCCTGCCTGCCTTCCTTCATCCTGCTGACTCAGTGTTACTCGCTCCAGCTTGGCCCATAATCACAGGCTCCACACACTATGGAGGGAGAGAAGAAAAGAAAAGAAAAGGAGAGAAAAGGAGAGAAAAGAAAGGGTAGATGAGGGAATGGAGAGGGAGTTATGCAGAATGAAGGGAATTTAAAGTGGAAGAAGCCCAGGGGCGATCCAGAGGCCTATAAATCTCTAGACTGAGTAGTGGGTGGAGAGCAGGAGAGTGATGTCAAACATGATATGTTAACAGCTGTAAACTCAGCCCCTCCTTCCCCCTTCTCACCCCCGTCCTCCCCTCCTCTCTCTGGACGTCCCACCCTGCAGCCTCAAGGTAGCTGCTCTCTAATTGGCATCTGGGTAATTTGGGTGAGCTCCCTTTCTCTCTCTCTCTCTCTCTCCATCTCTATAAATCCCTTTCTCTCTCTCTCTCTCTCTCTAAATCTCTTTCAAGTTTCAGGTTTTTATATCACGTGCACAAGTACAGTGAAATGCCTTTCTTGCAAGCTCCAAACCCAACAATCCAGTAATCAATATCAATGTAGCACGAAAAATAATATGAGTTAGAACAAAAACACACAAGAAATAAAAATAAGAAATAATAAGAAGAAATTAAAGAAGCTATATAAAGGGTCAGTTCCAGGGTCAGTTCCAGGGTCAGAAGCTATATACCAACAATGCAGTTTTAAGAAAAAAAGTGTTAAGCAAAAAATAGATACAGTGGGGGAAAAAAGTTCTCCCACTTAAAAAGATGAGAGAGGCCTGTAATTTTCATCATAGGTACACGTCAACTATGACAGACAAAATGAGAAAAAAATATCCAAAAAATCACATTGTAGGATTTTTAATGAATTTATTTGCAAATTATGGTGGAAAATAAGTATTTGGTCAATAACAAAAGTTTCTCAATACTTTGTTATATACCCTTTGTTGGCAATGACACAGGTCAAACGTTTTCTGTAAGTCTTCACAAGGTTTTCACACACTGTTGCTGGTATTTTGGCCCATTCCTCCATGCAGATCTCCTCTAGAGCAGTGATGTTTTGGGGCTGTCGCTGGGCAACACAGACTTTCAACTCCCTCCAAAGATTTTCTATGGGTTTGAGATCTGGAGACTGGCTAGGCCACTCCAGGACCTTGAAATGCTTCTTACGAAGCCACTCCTTCGTTGCCCGGGCGGTGTGTTTGGGATCATTGTCATGCTGAAAGACCCAGCCACGTTTCATCTTCAATGCCCTTGCTGATGGAAGGAGGTTTTCACTCAAAATCTCACGATACATGGCCCCATTCATTCTTTCCTTTACACGGATCAGTCGTCCTGGTCCCTTTGCAGAAAAACAGCCCCAAAGCATGATGTTTCCACCCCC